CCCCGGAGGCTCCCTCTAGTGGCTATTTGTGGGAACTGCAGGCTCCACATAGTTGGGGATAAGTTGTTAAATGTTGGACTAACAATCTACCCACCATCTTCCCTGCAGACTTGCAGGCTGGGAAGGCTAAACTCCTGCAGCCGGAGGGCTGCCCTTCCAAGCTGTACCGGCTGATGCAGCGCTGCTGGGCCCTCAGCCCCAAGGACCGGCCCTCCTTCAGCGAGATCGCCAACACCCTGAAAGACAGCCCCGCTGACAGCAAGCCGTGAGGAGGACGGCCAGGCAAGCTGTGCCTCAGGACGGTGTGGGCAGGGGAGGACCTCTTGAGGGGTGCCTGCAGCATGATAGGCAAGCTCCCCGTCCTCCTCAGCCCTTGGGGCCTCCACCCTGGCACAATAGGCATTGCTGAGGCCTGGGCAGGGCCTAGGCTTTCCTCTTCCTCACCCTCAGCCCTCAGGGAGGCTGATTCGGACCCAGACTGGGTGACAAGGGCCTTAGGCTGGGCAGCTTTCTCTGCCATCCCATCCCCAATCAGGGCCAGTGTGGGTGCCTCAGGTAACCCTCATTTTTTTGCCTGGGGAGGGCTAGGCTGGGGATGACCTGGGTTCGGAAGAGAGTCCCTTAATATACTCAAGTTCCTGGGTAGTTCTGGGCACACGGGGCCAAGGGACCTCTTGGCACATGGGTCCTACCGTGGGGTCTAAGCCAGGATGGTGGGGAGCACAAGTGAGCTCCCCACCATGGACTTGTGCACACTGACCCAGACCCATGCCTTCTCCTACCCTTCTCTCCTTTCCTCATCCTAAGTGCCTGGCAGATGAAGGAGTTTTCAGGAGCTTTTGACACTATATAACCCGCCCTTTTTGTACGCACCATGGGCTGCTTTTGTATGTAACTGCAGTGTGGGGTGGGTGGGCAGGGGGGGTGGGGGTGGGCCCTGGAGGGGATGGGAAGGGCCGGGCTGCCCCTGCCTCACACCTTTATTGTCGTTGTGGTTGTTTTTTGTTTGTTTGTTTGGGTTTTTTTTTTACACTCGCTGCTCTCAATAAAGAAGCCTTTTTTTACATCCTGCTTCTGAGGCTCATTCCCTGCTGTTGACCATGAGTGGTGTCTTCTTCCCTCCTTATCAGAAGGGGCCATGTGCCTTCGTGGAGCCCAGTGGGGCTTGGATAGGACGAGCTGGTGGACATTGGTCCTTCTCTTCGTTCGGAGGAGCAGTTGAGAATGTGGGCTAGCAGGAGGCGAGGTCACCTCTTGCCTGTGGGACTGTTGTTGCTCTCTGAGTGCCCACTGCCTATTCCGTGGGGCTGGCCTCGTCCTCGTGCTCAGGTGGGGAGGTTAGAAACGTGAGGGGATAAGTCAGGGTAGAATTGGAGAAGGAGTTAATGACAGGTAGACCCAGGTCTTTGAGTTCCTTTAAGACTCTAGGAGGGAGATGGAATAGGTAGAAGTAAGCAAAGAGATGGTACTTCATGCCTCGTTGCTCCAGGCTCCTCAGCCCTCAACTGGTTTGATCCTGCCGTTTGTTACCTAGACCGTGTGCTGTCAGGTATTCTCTACTTTGTTCCAGTAACTCAGTTTAGTTCCCCGTCCTAAAGACATGAGTCCTTACCTCTGAAATTATCCTAGTTCCTTCTGGTCCTCACCAAACTTCTCAGTAATGAAAATAAAGGCTAACATTTTCTGAGCACTTGCCCTATATCAGTTACTTTACTAAGCACTTAACATGAACATGGATTCTCTCATTTAATCTCTGCAACTACTCTGTTAGCCAGATGCGATTATTCTCGTTTCACAGATTAGGAAATGGAGGATCAGAGACGTCACATTGTTTGCCCAAGGTAACACAGCTAGCAAGTAAACAACTGTTGCTGATGTAGACAGTGTGTTACCTCCCTTAGGTTGTTGGAGTGGGGAGAAAAGGTCAAGAACAATGTGTCTAGAGGAGTGGGTTTTCAAATTGTGGTTTGCATTAAAAAAAAAAAGAAGAAACATAATAGAAACTATCATACTACGTTGTATACTATAAGAGTAAATATTATTTTACAAAATTTTGTTTGTTATATTTGATACATGTATGTACAATATTGGGTTGTATATTAATCAGCTATTGGGGTAGTGATGCTACATAATAACCCCAAAATCTCAGTGGCTTACAGCAACAGACATTTTTCTCACCCACAGACCTGCAGATTGGCGAGGTTTGGCTCATCTTGGCTGGACTTAAGCTGAGTTCAGTTTGGCTTGGCTCCAGGCTGCAGGTCTGGTTTAGGTCTATTTTGCTGGCACCCAGAGCATGCTCTTATGCTGTGGCAGAAGCCCAAGAGGTCAAGCCATATCACATACACATGTTAAAACCACAAGCCTGTTAACATGTTATGGGCCAAAGCAAGTCACATGGTGGAACACAGCATCAACCCCAGTAGGAGATACTGCGGAGTCACATGGCAAAGGATTTGGATGTATAATTCCAACACGGGGTACAGAGTTGGGATCAATAATCTGATTTACCACAGGTGCCATAGAAAAATTATTTCTTACTGTGAGTCGCACTCAAAAATATTTGAAAGGCATCACTCTAGGTCATTAATCACGAAATCCCCTTTTCACTCCTGATCTTCCTTTACCACTCTGCAGCAGCTAGCATTGTTGACCACATCTAGCTCTTAAACTCTCCTCTTGACTTTTGTGATGGTACCATCTCCAACTTCTCTGACCATTCCTGGCTGAGGCTTCCTTCTCTTCTGCCTGCCCCCAAAACCAAAACCAAACCCATTGCTGTCAAGTTGATTCTGACTTATGGTGACCCCCATGTGTTCCAGAGCAAAACTGCTCCACAGGGTTTTCTTGGCTGTAATCTTTACAGAAGCAGATTGCCAGGCCTTTCTTCCTCAGTGCTGCTGGGGGGGTTCAAACTGCCAACCTTTAGGTTAGCAGTCTAGCGAAAACTGTTAGCAATACACATGAGATGGCTGTTCTTAGATTGTGTTCTTGGCCTTCTCTCCACCTTCCCACCCCCAGGAAACTTGTCTCAAGTGGTTTTACCTAGCCCTTCAGTGTGGACAGTTCCCAGAGTATTAGCTCCAATCTCAGCCTTTGCTGCAAGCTCTAAACCTACTGTAAGTATTTCTTACTGGACATTTCCCTCTGCTGTTTTCCTGAGCCCGAACTGAACTTATCTCTCTCCCAAACTTGTTCCTACATCCAAGTTCCTTGTTTCCATTAATGGTACCACTGTTTGAAGAACATGGGGCCCTGGTGGTTCAGTGGTTTAAGAGCTCGACTGCTAACCAAAAGATTGGCAGTTCAGATCTACCAGCTGCTCCTTGGAAACCATACGGGGGCAGTTCTGCTCTGTCCTGTAGGGTTGCTATGAGTCAGAATTGACTCGATGGCAACGGGGTTTTGGTGGTTTGAAGAACAGCCACCCTTACTCAAAATCTCAGTTCATCACGAATCTTCTTCACTCCCTCTCCTCCCTGTGCAGCCACTCACCAAAGTCCATTCATTCTACCTCTGCTGTGTTTCTAGTTTTGCTTCACTTTAAGGGAAAATTAATATAAAAATAATAATGATTGTGGGAGACATCAAATGGTACAGGCTCGCGTGAAGCAACAATACAATCCTCCAGCCCCCCAACCCCAATCTCCAGAGGTGAGCACTGTTAACATTTGGAACATGACTTTACAGACTTTTCCGGGGCACACTGACTCATGATCCCTCTTTCCATTCCCTCTAATGCTACCATCACAATCAAGACCTTTTTTGTGTCTCTGTCATGGTACCAGTGGCCTTCTAACCTCATTCTGACCTTCTCACCTCTGCTCATTTCATCATCCTACAGATATTTACTGAGTGCCCACTGTGAGCCCAGCACCGTGCTATGAGACAAGATCTGCCTACAGGGTCTCTCTCCTCTTGCCCCATGTGCCCATGGCTGCCAAATTACATTTCTTAAAACATCTGATCATATCACTCACCTGCTCAAAAAAATGTCATCAGCATCCCACGGCCCTCACAAGGCTCTTCCTTACTCCTTTTATGTAGTCATGGCTAAACCGGACCCCATGTGTTCTGAGAACATACCTTACTCCTTGCAGAATCTAGTACTATACCGGGGATTCATTTGTTCAATCAACAAACACTTACTAAGCGCCAAATGAGGCAGCCTGAAGTAACAGAATAAGAATTGGAACAAGAGTCACAAGAACTGAATTCTAGTCCTGCCTCTGCCACTTACCAGCTGGGTGACTTTGGGGAAGCCACTTCTCTTCTCCCAGGCTTCCCTTGGCTCCTTTGTAAAAGGACGGGGTGGGATTCCTGCTTTTCATTCAGAGTCTCAAGTTATAAGGTGTACAGAGCCCTGTGTTAATGGCTATGGGACATTCCAGAGAAGCAGAAGCAACATGATCATCACTTTTGTAATTCTGAGCCAGGCTCCATCTGGCCTGAATGGCCTGAGGAAGCAAAGTCAGGCAAGGTTCTGAGCTAAAAATTTGAGTTTTGTTATTTAGGCTGAAATTGGAGGCACAGGGTGAGTGAGGTTTATCTAGGAGCTTCTGGTGCCCTGGTATCTCTGAACGATCTTAGTTGGTCATATTGTACATGAACTAAGCACCTACTATGTGCTGGACGTTGACATTAGTAAGTCCAGTCCTTTGGCCCAGAGTGTTATCTGTGGGGCTAAGGAGTGTTTATGGGACCTTTCCGATATCTTAGACATAAGAGAGAAGGAAAAAAAGCAAAGGAAAGCTAGAGGTAGACGAAATAATTTTTTAAAAGTTGGAATGATTTTTTAGATATGACAACAAAAGCACAAGCAACAAAAGGAAAAGTAGATTAAATTGAACTTCATCAAAATTAAACATTTTTCTGTATCAAAGGACACAATCAGTAAAATTAAGACAACCCATGGAATGGGAGAAAATATTTGCAAATCATAATCTCATAAGGGACTTGTATCCAGATTACATAAAGAACTCTTACCCGTTTCTATTGAGTTGATTCTGACACAGCTACCCTGTAGGACAGAGTAAAACTGTCCTATAGGGTTTCCAAGACTGTAAATCTTAACAGAAGCAGGTTGCCACATCTTTCTCCTGCAGAGCACCTGGTAGGTTTGAATTGCCAACCTTTCGTTTAGCAGCAGAGCGCTTAACCACTGTGCCACCAGGGCTCCTTAAGAACTCACAACTTAAAAAAAAAAAGACAAGAAATGGGCAAAGAATTTCAACAGACATTTCTCCAAAGAACGTATACAAATGGACAATAAGAACATGAAAAGATCATTAGTCATTAGAAAAATGCAAATCAAAACCACAGTGAAATACTACTTCACACCCACTTTGTTGTTAGGTGCCATCAAGTCAGTTCCAACTGACAGCGACCCTATGTATCACAGAACAAAACACTACCTGGTCCTGCGCCATCCTCACAATCATTGCTATGTTTGAGCCCATTGTTGGCAGCCACTGTGTCCATTTCATTGAGGGTCTTCCTCTTTTTCGCTGACCCCCTACCTTACCAAGCATGAT